TATTAAGTATTAATATAAAGGTTTTAACCTTTTTAATAAAAAGTATTAAAACCCCTTATTTAACCTTAATAACTTTAATAGCCTTATTATTACTAAGCTTACTTTACTTAATATTAATACCCTTAGCTATATTACTTATTTTTATATTTTCCTAAGTATATAAAAGGTTATTTATTAAAAGAAAATTAAGCTTTTAAAGTTAGTAAATAAAAAGTATTTAAAATAAAACTATTTTATTATAAAGTTAAGGGAAAATTAGGCTTAGTTAATATTACTTTACACTTTATAGTTATAGCTTTAAGGCTATAAATATAAGTTACTTAGTAACTTAAAGAAGAAAGGTAGCTATATTATAAAGAAAAGGTTAAAAGGATAAAGGTTTAAAGGAAAATATATATATAGTAGCTATATTATTACTAAGGAGGACAGGTTAAATTAAGGTTAGGGAATATTAAGTTATAAAGTAGCGAAAGATCGGTTATAATAAAGTTATTTTAACACAATGACAACTCTCCATTACTTAGTCCAGCGACCCCAACACCCGCTTACGAGAGCCTAAGAAATTCAAGGAGTACTGGAGATCTTTCACACGCTGCAGAACTGCCTGGAGACTTCTCGTCGGACAGCTCATCGCCATACGCATTCACCAGCTTCATCAAGAATGACGTCAATATTTGAGGTAATCTCTTCATATTCCCTGCCACTGTCTGCTAATATCGATGGTAGACGACGGTCGTGTCGAGATTGATTGTAATTCCAAGTTCGTCCGTACGCTAAGCCGCCTCTACCAAACATTGCCCGAGAAATATGAGCAACCCGAAACTCCGACCCCAGAATATACCCAATTCGATTTAGGAAGCAAGACTTGGGCCACAAAACTCAATATCGTTATTCAAGTTGTGGGCAGTCGAGGTGACGTGCAGCCGTTCATTGCGCTGGGAAACGAGCTTCAACGACATGGGCACCGTGTTCGTTTGGCAACACACAATACGTTTGAGAAGTTTGTTCTTGAATCAGGACTAGAGTTCTTCCCTGTCGGGGGTGACCCAGCTGAGCTAATGGCTTACATGGTGAAGAACCCGGGCCTGATACCTAGCATGAAGAGCTTGGCGGCTGGGGAGATCCAGAAAAAACGTGATATGGTGCAGTGGATGCTTGAGGAATTCTGGCACTCATGTTTGCGACCGGACCCCCAGACTGGTCTACCTTTTGTGGCCGATGCCATAATTGCTAATCCCCCTAGCTTCGCGCACATACACTGTGCCCAAGCACTAGGCATCCCTGTGCATCTTATGTTCACCATGCCGTGGAGCAATACGAGAGCTTTCCCTCATCCGCTTGCTAATTTGAAAAACGTCGGAAGCGATCCTCAACTTGGGAATTACATCTCGTACACCGTGGTGGAGTGGATGACGTGGCAAGGGTAAGCTCATCTGTCGCCTGGAATACCCTTCTGCTGACGAAGTTCATGGTCAGGCTAGGTGACATTATCAACAAATGGAGAAAGTCGATAGACCTAGAGGAGGTGGCTATGTTTGACGCTCCTATGCTAACAAAGACGTTGAAAATCCCCTTCACATACTGCTGGTCACCAGCCTTGGTCCCGAAACCTGCAGACTGGGAACCGTACATAGGTAGGTGTGAGAAGCAGGATATGCCTTGTTACCGATAACTAACATTCTTATAGATGTCTGCGGCTTCTTCTTTCGCGACCCCCCTCAGTACTACCCACCAACAGACCTTGCCCAATTCCTTCAAAACGGCCCGCCTCCGGTATACATCGGGTTTGGCAGTATTGTCTTAGATAATCCTGAGAAGGTCATCGGTGTTATACTAGATTCGGTCCAGGCCACTGGCGCTCGTGCTATCATCTCTAAAGGCTGGTCTGATCTTGTAGGCTCTGACCAAGAGAACGTATACTGGATTGGAGACTGTCCCCACGAATGGCTGTTTCAGCACGTCGCAGCGGTCATTCATCATGGGGGGGCTGGAACAACAGCTTGTGGGTTGAGAAACGGAAAGCCAACAACTATAGTTCCTTTTTTTGGCGAGTGAGTCGAGGAGACTTCCATATCCAAGATGCCTTCTTTACTAATTTTCCAATTTATAGCCAGCCTTTCTGGGGACAGATGGTAGCCAACGCTGGTGCAGGACCTGCTCCGATACCGCATACAGAACTCACGGTCGACAAACTCGCGGCAGCTATTCGTTACTGTCTATCTTCACAGGCCGCAGCCGCAGCCGCGATCATAGCCGACAAAATGGCATCAGAGGTTGGAGTTCGTGCTGCTGTACAGGCATTCCACAAAGGCCTCCCTCTGGAGCGAATTCGATGTGATGTAATGCCAAGTGAGCCCGCCGTTTGGTCATATTCCAAGTCGAAGAACCCGATCAAGTTATCAAAGGTGGCTGCAGAGGTTTTAATATCAGCCAATTCTATCGATCGTAAACACCTGAAGCTGTGAGTACCTAGCCTTGCTTACGTGATTGTTTATTGACATAGCCGCTGACTTACTCTGGATAGATACCAGAGCAACCCCATCCAGATGGAAACAACTAGGTGGGATCCTGTTTCAGGAGGTGCGTCTGCTGTTATGGCGACGGCAACCGGAATGGCTGGCAACATCACGGGCATCTTTACAAAGCCGATCGAGGAATACCGAGACGACCAGAAGCGACGCGCTGGAGAGCTCAAGTATACCCAAGGACGCGGTTCCCCATCCTTGCACGAAAGGGCTAGCGATAAAGATCACCTCAATGTAGAGCGCCTCTCGAGCGAATCCGCGCGACCTAGGAGTGCACACTCCGGAAATCTCGCCGGTCGTATGGCTGGAGCTTCAGCTAAAAGCGCTGGTAAGATTGGCCAAACAGCCACCAAAAGGATGTTAGTGGATATTCCACTCGCCATAACAGAGGGATTGAAATCGGTTCCACAGCTCTATGGGAGCAATGTACGCAATCACGGGCCAGTGACAGATGCCAAAAGTGGCATGGTAGTGGCAGGGAAGACATTTGCGTGGGGCTTCATCGATGGTCTAAGCGACGTTGTGGTACAACCATATAAAGGCGCCAAGAAGGAGGGTGCACTGGGGGCTGCTAAAGGGCTTGGAAAGGGGGCGATGAATCTGGTGACCAAGAGTGGTGCTGGAATGTTTGGACTGTTTGCATATCCTAGTGCGGGAATCAGCAAGAGTCTTCGTACAGCTACATATAGCTCGACACGTAAGACAATTGCTAAGGAGCGCCATGCAGAAGGAGTCTGGATAATGAATAATGCAACTGGATTACAGGTAGATTGTAGTAGAGTGTTAGGGGACTTTGAGCGTTTGAAATAAATAAGTAGATATAAAAATATAATATTACCTTAACTCTTAATTATTAATTATAAAGTATTAGAAGGTTAAGTATACTAATTATAATTAGCTATAGCTTTACCTTACCTAGGATAATTGCTTACTATTAGTATTAGGGTCTTGTAAGGTCTGGTATATAGTGTTTATTATTAACTTACTATAAGTAACAAGTACTTAATCTATAGGACGCCATTTCCACTCTGGTACGAGATATATATATCCCGTCAAGATCCAACATCTGCTCTGCTTCTACACTACAATCTTCCATCTTACGGAGCCAAGATACAAAAGACTAGGAATAAATCGGATGTCATAGATATGTGCCTGTAAAACGAAAACATAATCGAGCTAGAGACGAAACTTGCGCATGGTGGCTCTGCCAGCCAACTTGTGTATAAACCTGTGTTAGACACCAAAATGAACATAAGGAACCCAGTGCAACGGCGTGCCATCGCATGACACAATGTCTCTTGGGTGTCTGGGATTCCTTTGAGTTGAACATGATCGCCGTTTAGCCACTTGAGAGTCTTCATGAACTCGTATACCACGGTTGAATATTGTTCCTCCTGCATTTTCTGAAACCCACTGGAGACGAAGACTCCTAGAGGCATGGTGCAGTCCCTCACTGACGGATTCTTCACTCATTTTCCGTCGCTCCATCCACCTGTACGTATTAGTGGCTATATCTAAGCAAGACTTGTCGCTGGCTTGCCAAAGCGTGCCGATGACATGCCTGAAACCGGCAAGCTGACATGCAGCCATTAGATGAAGACTTTCGTCAATGAGTCCATCGTGCTTGGTCTGCCCTGTTCCGCATGCCGAGAGGTATGCAAGAAATGGCTGCCGACTGCGAAGGTTTGTCTCAAACAGACTCGCTACTGTTAGCGGCCCGTCATGTAGAAGTAAAGCGCTTTGTGATGGGTCCGTTTCCTCAGAATGCCCATGACCAGCGAAATGAAATATGTCACACTTATTTAACGCAGCTAGCACGTCTTGTCGGTATGGCTGAGGCTTGATTACCTGCAATTGCATGGAATCGCAGAGGCCTTCGAGTTTGTGGATCTCTTGTGTCGCATATTGGAGTTCTTGCATGCCAATAAGAACAATACTTTCCGGTTTTTGTGGTTCTTTGATCATAACATGTCTGAGGCGGCTTTGAATGAGTGCCTTTGAAGAAGAACTGTAGGATGAAATAGCCCGGTCTAAGACAGTATCAGATGAGGCGCGGGTATGATAACCCGCTGCATGTATGGGAAACTTGGCCAAGGGACCAGTTGGAATCCACCAAATTCGAGGCCAGGGACCATGAGGGGTTTGAGTTAACTGCAATGCGTCTAGTATTGGCTGTGCAATCGTATCCCATAGCCATTCTAACAATTGTGCATCCAATAATGATGGGCTGATTAGAACTACTGCGTGACTGAGGACGTCGCAGTGGTGCAAATGAGGCAGCGGCAAAGTCCTGAGTCCGTTCTCCTCTATTATCAGTGCATCACAGCGACAGCTGCTTACGTTGATGATGACAATAGGTCCCGGAACAGCAGCAGCAGTCAATTCAGCCTCAGATGGAGCCATAAGGAATCGATCCAAGCCAGGTAATGCCCGGATGGCCTGGATCGTCCGTTCCAGTTTCTGGCCAGCCTCATAGCGCTGGTCAAATTGGCGCATCAGACCAGCTTCTGAATTGAGTTCATCGAATAGAAATGTTGAATCTGCTGGAGTATCGAGCTGACTCCGAAGCTGCAGGTATTCATCTGCTAGCTCTGGACTCTTCTGGCGGACGTCGGATATGTCACCGCGCATATCGTTCAGAGAACCTGTGATGATCCCTCGACCGACTTCAAGGAGCTGGATTGCGTCATACGTTGGTGCTTCCGCCATCAGAGCCACGGCTGCAGCATCAGAAGCCAAACCAACTACTTCAGTCAGCAAATGCTGCTTATCCGAATTCTCGAGAGATCTCGGGGTAAGGAGAGGAGCTAACGACACCGCTGTACGAGCTGCCTTATAGGCTAATGGCCAACACTTGGCATCGACAAGTAACGCCAGCAAGGTTTTACCAGGTCGTACTCGATCAAGTGTAGGGGACGAATAATGATCCATGGCATCTTGGCACCGATGAATAGCCTTTTCTAGGTCTTCTGGATTCCCTGTTGTTTGATACATGTCTCGGTGCCCAATGCCAAGATTATGAAGTATGTCCGAGCGAGCTGGGTGACCTTCGGGAATAGCTTTTACAGCTTCCGTATATAGCTGAATTGCTTTGCTGAGATCCTCCAATGCTCCTCTCTGCTGAAATCTCTCTTGATATACCCGACCAAGGCTGTTGAGGCGGCGTGGTAAGTTAGGGTTGTCTGGAAGCGTTGCTCGAACTCCTTCTTGATGAAGCTGGATGGCTATATCAAGGCTTTTCGCCGCCTTTGACTCCTGGAACTTAGCTTGATGAGCCAGACCAAGATTTTCAAGTCGACCGGGTCGATCTGGGTGGCCGACAGGAGTTGCATCTACTGCTTCCTGATGTAAGTGGATAGCTTTGTTTAAATCTTCCACTTTCCCTATCCTTCGATATCGGTCTGCATGTCCAAGCCCAAGACTTTCAAGCCGACGTGCTCGATCTGGATGGCCTTCTAACGTCAAATCTACTGCTTCCTCATGCAGTCTAATAGCCTCATCAAGGTCTGCCAATGCCCCCATTCTTTCATATCTATTCCCATAAGCGAGGCCAAGGCTATCAATTCGGCGTGGACGATCCAAATGCCCTTCTGGGGTCGATTTTAATGATTCCTGATGGAGCTGGATTGCTCGATCAAGGTCTGCCACCGTTCCCGTTACTTGGTGCTTGTCATGGTATGCGACGCCAAGGTTATGGAGCCAACCTGACCGATCTACACGATTTTTTGGCGTTAGATCTGCTGCTTCTTGATACATTTGAATAGCCTTGTCGATGTCTGTTATGTCACCAACTTTCTGGAATCTATCGTGGTATACAAGGCCAAGATTATGAATTCGACGTGGCTGATCATGGTGGCCTTTTGCAGTCGTGCCAACTGCTTCTTGGTGCAAGCTGAGAGCCTTGGCGATGTCCCTCGTGGATCCCGTTCTCTGAGATCTATCATGATAAGCGAGACCAAGATTATCCAGGATGCCTGGCCGTTCTGGATGGCCTTCCTGGAGACAATTGATGGCCATCTCATGCAGCTGGATGGCGTTGTCAATGTCTTCTATTTCTCCAGCTCTGAGAAAGCGGTCTGCATATGCAAGGCCGAGCCTATCAAGTCGACATGAACGGTCTGAATGCCCTTCTGGAGTCATTTCTACTGATTCCTGGTGAAGTTGAATGGCGTTATCGAGGTCTGGAGTGTCTCCTGTCTTTCGATATCTGTCTTGAAACGCGAGACCAAGACAATGGAGTCTCTGTGGCCGGACCGGATCTCCTGGTGGAATCAGGTCAAGAGCTTCTTTTTGTAGCTGGATGATGGAACTAAGGTTTGCGATTTCATCCGTTGACTTCTGTTCGTCACTGTTTAAGTTTGAAACTTCCGCGTGGCCGCTGACCAACAGGGGCTGGGTCTCGCCGGTGCTGTATTTTTTCTCGATCCCGGAGTCATTCTCAATCAATGTATTCTCAACCATTTCCCCATGCATCAGTTGGTCTTCTTGAGAAATATGCGAAATCTTATTAGGCGGAATTGAGGCGTTGATATGGGACGATAGATGATCATCAAAGGAGTCCACTATCTTCGAGCTACCCAGATTCAATTTTTGCCTGCTGCCGATTGTTTTTCCAGTCCCTGAGTCCATGGCTGTGGCGGAGGAGGGGTGATAGAGGATGGTCTTTCACGATGAGGGCCGCAATCGTTCTAGGGGCATCCAAAATGCACTTGTTCTTGTTGTCTGATACAGCATGAGATATCGAGATATTATTGATAAGTCGTCATTGTGCTGATTGATGTACTAGGGAAAAGAATAGGCTTTCATAGCAGGATTACGCATGACATTCACCCGGCGTTGCTGCCTAAGGCTGTTGAGGATTCTAGTAGCACGCTGTGACGTGGCACATTTCAATCAATATGCAGAAGATGATGTATACTTCGTTAGGATGCTTCCTTACCAATTGCTGCCTACCGGTATTCAACACTGAGAATTCTAATTAAAGAAACCCACGCCCAATCACACTCACTGATATCTCCCCTCCAGGTGCAGGGAAAGTCAAGTGTTTAAATAATCAGGCCGCAATGCAGCAAGTAAGACTTTCAACAGCTAACCAATTATTCATCTGCCTGTCAGCGTCCTAGCCTAGAAGCTGTCAGCTTCGATTCTTAATCAGGACCTGGTCGTGCGGGGTAACAAGACATGACATACAGTTAGGCTGTCAATCGCGGGTAATGACATGATTAATAATAACATGAGTAGCTCAATAGCTAGTTAGAAGGCATTACCGGCCCGCATTCTCTGGCCAGTTGAGAGTACATGGTGGAAAAGCTGGATGACCCTCTCGCATCCAATTTCAAGTGACTATCAGTCAGCAGGGCACACCGCCCCGGCCCCGTTTCGCCTAGCAACCAAGAAACTATCAGGCAATCACATGATAGCTGGCGTGGATGGCCAGTCCACCCTCTATCCTCAGCCTCAGCTCGAGAAAATACTGTCGAAATACTGCCGACGCCAGATATCGACAGATCTATGGCAATCTTAATATAGCAAATGGTCAAAGGTCAAGTCATAACCAACAGGATCAAGACCATCCCCAAATTCTCCTAACTCATCAAAGTCCAGATTTCTAACCGCCATATTTTCAGGATCTAACAGGTTCCAGCCAGCAATGGGATTCTCTGCAGTCGTATCATGAGATCTTTGTGCTGCCTCCGTTTCGAAAGTGGGAAGGTCACGATGTGAACTTGATAAGTCTGGCTCATCTTGAAGTGCCAAAGAGGTATCAGACAATGTCTGGTCTTGAGAATCAGCCCGAGCCTCGGTGACTGGGGCTGCGCTTGCTGCTTGATCCCCGTGTTCGGTTGGGGGCAGCAGACTCGGCAAGACTTCGTCAAAGGCATTCCAGACTGCAGAAGAAACCGTTTCAAAGAGTGAGCGTTCAGATACTTCAGAGCTGAACTGAAATGCGGGCATATTTCGCACATTGGCATTTATGTCTCGTATCAAACGGGGGGGAACCTCCCTTCGTAGAAAGCCGCGATATTGAGCCCGCGTTTCTGCAGTCATGGGTGCCTCGAGTATTTGCAGATCACAATCTATATACGGGTTAATGGAACGATTACGAGTAAATATTACAGATAGGACTTACATGGTGATGGTATATCTTCGGTATTCGGAAACAGAACCCTATACATATGCTTCCACTTTTCCTCCTCGGAAAAGTTCTGGATGCCCCGCCTTGACTTGAGACGCTCTTTAGTCTCATTGTCGATGCCTGGCATTTCTCTTGATGGGCTAACAACTTCACAAGCCGGGTCCTGGCGGAGATGCGCATCGAGGTCTTTCTCCGCCTTGACAATTCTGAAACATCTCTTACAATAAATAGGTGCTTTGTGAGATCTATAAATATGCTCCCTATTATAGTCAGCAAATCGTGCCTTGGACTCAGTAGGTAGGCTTGCGTACTTTATCCGATGAACGCTAGGCCAGCCTTTTTGGCACCGGGGCCATCGCTCTCCGGGATATTCTTTAACAAACGGGCAGGCAAGATTTGACACTGATCCCGATGGCGTGCTTTCAGTCTTGCGGCGTTTTTCATGATCGTCCCCATTTCCTCTGTAGCCACCATTGGTATTGTCACCTTCACTCTCTCTATCATCGATCCCCCTCTTCTTTCTGTTACCATGACTTTCAGCCGGTGGGCCATTTTGACCAGTAGATTGTGTAGAGTCGGAAGTTCCTGAATTGTGATTGAGTCCTGGCGAACAAGCTTTCACCCAGTCGACAATCCGTGGGATAACCAGTGCGGTGACCGTATCTTTCAGGGCAGTGACAGAGGCTAGGAGGGCTGGGTCCAGACACGAAGCGAGAAATGCTTCTTCAAAAGACTCATCTGTTTGCCGCGAGACATCAGACATGGACTCATCAGTTTCGCTTGTGTCAGTCTCAGTCACATAAGTGTCCGGAGTCAACCCATTTTCCGTATCATCCTTGCTAGAGAGAGCTGTAGAGCGAGCATCCATTGTGGTCTCGGTTCTCGTCCCTGTAGATGGTATCGTTGTTTTGGCTGGATGACTACGGGGGGCAGAGGGGTGACCTCTATCGACGTGATCATCCATACTCAGTCTACGCATCGACTCACTCGGAGGTCCTGCGTCTGAGAGTCGTTCCTCAATGGTACTCAACTCTTCATCAGGATTCTCCTCAACCTGGAGCTGTCCACTAGCAAGCGGCGACTGTACTTTGGGTGGATTGAATGATGAAGAGAGTAGTAAACCTTTGTTCAAACGACGTTGTTGGGCAACCCAACCAGCCAAAGCCACCTGATCAGACACAGTCAATGAGCTGTCTTTCGCTGATTCAAGTGACGCGATCGAGTCAGTAGGCCCTGAGGCAGCGATGAGCTGTTGGTATACTGGAATATTTGCTGATGCCGATAGTCGTTCTTTGGTTTGCGGGTCGAGGTATGGGATAGGTGGAACGGGAATCTTGTCATGATCTCGATTGTTACGAAGCGATTCTCGGTATACATTAAGAGATGAAGAAGATGACAACGTCTTTCTGAAAAGAGATCGTCGGCGAGAAGGCGTGGAACTGGCCTTGCCAATGGACGAGTCGTAGGTGCTAGCAGCTGAAATCATAGAAGAGGGCCGTGTGAAGCTAAAGCTAAAGGTGGAGTCTCGTGCAGACGTCGAGGCTTGGAATGTGTCCTCAGAAAGCCGTCGTAAAAGGTCGAGTTCGGATTGGTTGTATGTAGCGAAAGAAAAGTTTTGACCGTACTCAGGGATGTCTATACCGCAAGTTGAAGTCACTGGTTGACTCTAAGGCTAAATGTCAGCACTTGGATCAGTGTAAAATCAAGAAAGAGGCTACATACCAGGCTGCGCCGGCGTATAGCATCGTCCTTTTCTAAACCACAGTTAACTTAGTCAAGAACTAGGTAGTTAGAAATTAAGCATGTACTTACCTTTCAAACCTGCGTTGCCCAAGATCAACGCAGACGCTGGCCTTTTGGCAACGTCGTATTGGCTACCTACCCCGGTAAGCTCAACCGACTGTAGAGGTAGGATAGGCGCCGAGGTAACTCGTTTCCTTCTCACTCCTGGATAGTTCTTGATCCATCTGCGATGGCTTTCGGATTTCGCTGCAGCGCCCTCTCCATCCTTTGCTGAGAACGAGATTGTTTGATCTACAGGATGTTGTTGTAACCCGGTCGGCCATGCCTGTACTACATTGTGTATATTCGAGTCGGGAGAGCTATTATCCATTGGAGTATCCAGCTTATTGTCCGTTGTCGGCGAGGAATCTCCATCCTTCCATAGAACCGCCATCTTCTCTTTGAGGGTATTAGACATCAACCGGGAGGAAGGCCGTACTTTGGCGTAAGAGGGGAGCAAACCCGGGGCTTTGTTCAAGTAATGTCTTCCTTTGTGCTTCAGGCGCTCACGCAAGGATCGGGGCTTTGCATCTGTGGTTTGCTGGCTTTTTTCAGGCATAGTCCCGGGTGCCACGTCGGCAGCTGGCGCTATAGGCGAGGACATAGCGGGCGGGTATAATAGTGGGCTGTTGCAGGGCCAAGGCAACGGTGTAACACCTACACGTCTCGATTACCGTTAAACAATTGAAATGCGACTCTTTCGGGATGTGTTGTACAAAGAGAGAAAAAGAAACAATTGTCAAGTGGCTCTATGTCTCGCTAATGCTTACGACGGCCCCCTGGGTCGCCTTGAACGGCCGGCTAGGCGTTTTTCTTGAGCCATGGTTCGCAAACTGCAGCCTACGAGGCGCTCGTTCAGGCGACTTGCATATAGGGGCAGAGTTATCTTATCATACCTAGGCTAAGCAGGGGTAGAGAAAAAATGTGGTGGGGTTCGCCTGAAGTTTTGCGCATGCGCATAACTTAAGATCGCAAAACAACAGGCCGCAAATATTCACTTCTGTAGAAACGGAAATAGAGGTTGAGCAAAAGGATATAGTAAAAGTAATAGTTAGGCTACACTCTTCGTTGCGCATCACTAAAAGCTAGGGTAGCTAGCAAATTAGGTAAAATTCATTAAATAAGACTCCAGACTGGCTTATAAAATCATAGGAGGTCTTCACGACCGGAGACGCTCTGCAATCCAGAAGATTAACCTGACCAAAATTATTGCAAATACTGTAATCAAAATTATTTTACAATGCCAAGCCAATTGTCAATTATTTCGATATTACCAAATCAGGGGTCATCCTCTTCTGTCACAAGGTCTGTCTGGCACATCCCATTGCTTACCACTTACGCTAAACCGTCTAGCAGTGACATCACTAAAGCTTCCCTGCCTAGCGCTGGTCTCTCGCTCACTATGTCGCGCTTCCTTGGGGAACCGATTTCTGTCAATGCATACATTGCATGCGGAGGAAGTGGTTAAATGAATGGAGAATGTAACTACCAGTCGTTTATATCAATGCCTGGCTGTGTATGTACTGTTAAGCTTCTGTAGCATTAAAGTGTTATCAATAGTGTATTTTAATTAGGATATAAAACTCAGGATATAATGTTAAATGGATAAATAATAATCACAGTGTAATTAACTAAAAGTGCTAGCAAAACTTGCCATTTTACAAGGCTTTACATATTACTATCTCGCCAATCCTTGTTAGTAAACAACATCATTACTTAAATTCTAGTAGGCTTGGCGGCAATTACTGCTTTTATTTCTATAAGCCCGATAAACATAAGCCATTTCGAGATATTAACAGTTGTCCATTTCTCTGAGGGTATTTCTTGGGAACTCTGGAGTTATATAACTTGGCGGTCTGAAAAATCACATAAGTATAACCAAGTGCACCAGCAAAGGAATGGCGATACCTGTTACCATTACGCTCCGCTATGTCACGTGACCTCGAATATTAAGAGGCACTAGCTGTCATAGGCGTGTCACATCGGCAATGGATGTGAACAAAATGATCGAGATCCGCCACTCAAATCGGGATGTGGGGGGTGAGCAGTTAAGGCTTCTAGCTCAGAACTTAAAAGCAGCAACAAAGCGAACATTTGTCACCAATCAAACTACCTACACGGGGTACAGATTGAGATTTGAAATCTGCAAGGTATGTGATAGTGACTCGGGGCAGCTTCTGCTTATGTTTTGACCTGCCTTGAACTATTGGCGCTGTCTCACTGGGCTGCACATGCCCCACTATGTCCATTTATGGATTGCCAGCTCACCTCTTACAGCCACTCACATGAAACATTGAGTAAGCCATGCTTTTTCAGTATAGCCAATACACTTTCCCTCCTTTTCGCCCTCATCGTAACGAGTTAAACGGTAACAGTTTGTACTAAGCGGGAAGGCATATCCAATAGGCTTTTAGAGACATCGTGAAATTATTTCCTGTTAATACAACAAGCAGGCTATATAGAGGTTGGGGTTGATCTTGACAGCTATTAATATTAAGTATTCCTGAGATCAGGGAACTGATCTTGCTAATTTAGTCAAGTTTTAGATAACTACCAGCGGTAAGGTTTTTGCCAAGTTGATTCAGAATGTAATGACCTATGCGTTAGCACTATGTAACCGTCATCCATTCCGTCTGACTGTATTTGTGTATATACTATTTAACGACTAAAACCTAAACCTAGTCCTGTCTGCTAACACAGGACATATTAGCTAAAAGAGGCATGAAAGCGGAGTTTAACTATTTAAGGAATTGTAAGACAAACTATACAAAATAACTCTTTTATATTACTATATCCTGCTAGTAATAAACTCCTTAGTGGCTATGTATCTCTAAGCAGCCTGCTTCAAGATGCATAAGGCTAGCTGAGAAGACAGATTTAGGAAGGGCCTACTTAACGAGTGATAAATTCAACTCTTTGCAGATGGCATACAGGCACACTAATGCAACCCTGTCACAATCACCCCGCACGGGCGGCCGACAACATCGCTGGCGTACGCGGCCTGCAAAAGGAAAGAAACTCCCGACTCCCAATCTAGCTAGATATGTCCAATATCGGCCAATTGGTACTTTTCAGCCAGCCACACAAGCAGTCACTAACATGTAAAACATCTTGTCAAGTTCCACTCCGTATCTATATCCTATCACCACCTATGTTTTTAAGACATGATATCAGACTAAAGGCAATATCTGCTGTCGCTTATTTGAAATAGTCTTCCAACTTGTAAGAAAGCAAATTACAATGCTTGTATTCCAGATACAGAGGGGAATAGTGCCCGCGAGAGGTCTGGGTAATACTTGTGGCTGGCTGAAAGCTATCTGCATAAGTGCATGTAAAAATGAGACTGTTATTTTACACCGTCGGTATAGTTTTAATGGCATACATGTATGAAGTGAAGGTATTATAGCTAGAAAGGCAGTAATGAGACTTCAGGTATAAATATCCACAGATCCCCATCCTTCTTAAGAGTCATCGCAGCTCAATTCAGTACAACTTTCCCCAAATAACAAACATCTATTACAAAGACTACCACAATGGCTTCTGTAGCTCAATCCGACGTTGTGAGCTATGACACCTTCGAGACGCTCGTAGCCTCTCAGAATGCCGGTCAACTTCCTTCAGACCTCGAGAGCTTTTACCACTATATCATCGCCCAGCCCGAAGGTGCTTCGGATTTGGCTGCGTTAGCTGCCACCAGCGCATCCCAGGCAAACCCTTCCACCAATGCCGCTGATGCTGCCGCTCCTGAGGTTAAAGCAGCGGGCTTCCGAAACGAGACCTCAGCAAATGGTAGCGTCATCAACCTTTGGGTTTACCAACGTGTCTACATCAATGCTCTTGGTAAAACATGCACCATCAACATGGGTGGTATCACACCGGGCTTTCCTGGTGGAGCAACATTGTAAGCTAATAAACATCTAACTGACGATATTAGATGACGTTTTATACTGACTAATTCGTTCTCATAGCGGTACGTTGTACTACGATGATGCAAGTGATCTTAGTGGTGATTGCGATGTTGTTTTCACGGGATTTATAGTAAGTTTCCTTCTTTATCCTTGTTTAGAACATTCCCCTTTATTCGGGGTTCTACGAAGTCGGAGAAAATAAAGTACTGATTCGAATATCGTCTAGACATACTACGCCCTTTACTTCCGCAGGAACGGTAACCTATTTGCCACCTACCAGTCAGGAAATGTCGGGGCGGCCACCGGTGTTGCAGGTGGTACAGGCAATTGGGCTTAATTTGTGCCGGTTATGTTTCTAGCTGTAGATGTCCAAGTCCAATACACATGAACAAGTTTGAGGATTTCCCCAGTGGTCCATTTCGCCAACTGTGTTTCCCTGTCCGATAGTCTTATTCATTGGATATCTTCTTGAAGGAGGCGTGTTTATGATAGAGTGCTGATAAAGTAGCCTCCGCTTTGAGTATAATTACTTTGCAGTTTTGCAGCAGCTCTTCGAATTCAGTACAGCCCGTAGGATCGAGGGCGTGGGCCATTTTGGACAAGGGTAGTTGAGAGATATTTGCTTGAGTGTGTCAAGGTCAACCAGCTTGCAGATAATGTAATGGGGGGAAGCAAAAGTGAGAGGGCTGGGAGGGACGTGAGAGGCAGATGACCCAGTTTATATCCTGAAAGACATAAGCAGCCGCTGACGAAAGACGGCTGCTGCGCCACGAAGCACTATACAGATTCTGGTTAGTTCCTGAGTTCCTTAGCTAGCTCTCCATATCAGTTATGCTCAGGGAGCAAGAAAATGTTAGACTATAATATAAGGTACTAGAAACAAAACCTAGAAAAGCATATCCTCTCTGATGCTAATTCAGAGAAGTCGCTCCCACTTAGGATTGAGGTCTTGAGTTTTTTTCCCTTCCCTTAGCCGCCTTGCACGCAGTTGCAGTTGGCGAGGTAGCGGGGATAGTCGGCAGATACGCCCGCCGAACGGACCCCACAATCTTCTACATTGCGGATCTGACTTCCGCTATCTGTATTGCCATTGATCGGACAGGCGATAATCTCCTTAAAAGGGCCCTCGTCATTACAAGATTATTTCCAAATCGAATTGTAGGTTCTAACCTTGAAACACCAGAACCTGTATCTTCTCCTGACTACGCCGCTGCAATGCCATCCTCAAAGACACCGCTCGAAGTTGATGATGTCACCATCACCAGCTTCACCGTTACCGATATCAGATTCCCCACTAGTCTAGACGGAGTTGGCTCAGACGCTATGCATGTTGGTACGAATGGGTCACATCCATACATTCAACTTCATACCAATCATGGTGATTTAATCGGTGAAGGCATTGTCAGCCCCCTTACGGTCGATACTTTCAGAATTGGTGCTAATGATCAGACAGGCCTTCAGCAACGGTCGAGGAAGCGAACTCATTTGTATGGCTCTGAACATATTCGCTAAACGCGTGGTTGGGAAGACTATGCATGAGTTGACTCGTAACATGGGCAAGACCTGGCGATATATGGTCTCCGACTCCCAGTACAGATGGATCGGTCCGGAGAAGAGCGTGACGCATTTGGCCGTTGCTGGCGTACTCAATGCTGTCTGGGACCTCTGGGGCAAGATATTAGGCCTTCCGGTGTGGCAGATCGTGTGTGAGATGAGCCCCGAGGAGATAGTCCGCTGCATCGACTTCAGGTATATCACCGATGTCATCACACCAGACGAGGCCATCCGTATGCTTCAAAAGACAGCCAAAGGCAAGGACGAGCGCTTGAAGGAGGCATTCGACAATGTTGCCGTACCAGCCTATACTACATCCGCGGGATGGATGGCGTTCTCTGGCGACAGGATGAAGGAGGTGCTGCATGAGACATTAGCGCAGGGTTACAAGGTCTTCAAGTTCAAAGTCGGGACCAACATCGAGGCCGATAGAGAAAGATTGTCTGCTGTGAGAGACGTCTTGGGTTACGACAATGACTACCAGATCATGATTGATGCCAACCAGGCAAGTCGTCACTCCGTTCCAGGATGGATGTCACTAACGCCTGAACAGGTATGGAGCGTACCCGAGGCTATTGAGTACATGAAGCATTTGGTGGAGTTTAAGCCTGTGTTTATTGAAGGTACGCCTCTATTTCTTGAAACCACTGGAAGTACGTTCCTGATTATCTAGCAGAGCCTACAAACCCTGATGATGTGCTGGGACACGCAGCGATTCGCAAGGCGCTGAAGCCGTACGGCGTTGGTGTTGCCACCGGTGAAGCAGCACAAAACAGAGTCACTTTCAAACAGTTACTGCAGGCTGAAGCAACTGATGTTGCACAAATCGATGCTGTTAGACTCGGTAGCGTTAACGAATGTCTTGTAAGTCCTCATAAGTATACCTACTGTTGATCCACGTCCTCAGGCTAATGGTCCTCGTTGTAGGCGGTCATGCTGATGGCCCTCAAGTTCAATATCCCATGCGTTCCACATAATGGTGCGATGGGCCTGACTGAACTTACATCTCATCTCAGCACAATTGACTATGTTGCTATCAGTGGACGCAAGTCAATGCTGGAAAATGCCGACAGCCACCGCGAAAACTTGCGACATCCCTCCAAGATTGTCAACACTCACTACGTCACGCCATTATCACCAGGTTACTCTACAGGCTACACCGATGAAGCGCTTCAAAAGTATACTTATCCTGATGGCAAGTTCTGGACATCTGAAATTGGTTTGAAGATCATCGCGCAGCCCACGGGTGGCGAGTTATAACATTTGAACCGACTCTTGTCGTCCATATATCAATACATTCATACATGTTGATCTCTTTCATAGTAATTTGAAGTAAAAGTTGAACAATCCGATAAACAGGCGACGTCAAGTGTTTTAGACTCTTGTTCGAAGACGTGTCTTCCTCCTTATCTCCTTGAGTATTGCCAAAACGTCGGAGATACTGGAAACATTCCATTGGCTCAAGTTATCAATAGCCAGGGTTTGAAGGCTCTCCAAATCAGGAACAAAGTGTCGAAGCTCACAATTGAGCCATGACAATGTCAGTATAATCACCGCCCCAAGTGACCTGACTTGGTGATTTAGTATAAGACACTGCGGCCTAATGGAGGATACTGACGACAGTGCAAAAGTCCATGTGTATTGACTCGGAGCGCGAAGAATCTTAGAAGTGTGATAAAGATATAAACTGCAACTTTCGATGCAAATACCTGCCCTCTCAACAATTGCGCTCGAAACGTGTGAGTTCGTGTGCGTTGTAACATGGAGAACAAAAGGGCGATATATGATATGTCTCGCGGCATAGTATCGAATTCTTAATATGGATATCCTGTCATTGTCAATTTCGTCAAAATTCAGTGGTGGTCGGAACTGCTCGGGGATGGCTGCGTGCCATAGGTCGAGTTGACTATGCAGTTCTTCACAAACAGAAGTGATTGAATTTAGCTCCTTAATAGAAAGCTCTTCTGGTGTCATCAGTGAGGTTGAGGAAAGAGACGGGTTGAGAGAGTTTGGTGTTCTTGGGTATAGGGAGTTGTGTATGCGGTTCAGAAGTCGTCGGATAGATATCTCGGCCAGATAAGCTGTCATGTGAAGATCATCCAGATTCCCACATCGGGGCAGGTTCGCATCATCTGTCAATTGTTGAAGACTGCTTCTAGGGAGCTCCAACTCAGCAAGTCTGTCACATTCAATGATAAAGCAAGACCAAAACAGCCGTAATATATCGACCTCTGTATTTAGCGTTTGCTTCTGACAATCCAGGCTAGCAACCTTATTAGCGATCAAGTAGCTGATAGTTCAAAGCACTCACCTTGAAAGCTTTAGTTGTAGGAGATTGGTAGCCAAGTATATTAGTCGCCAACTATGAAGCGGACGGACAATATATGCAAAGTAGACACTCGCCAAAACAAGTGCCTGAGCTAATGCGAGATCGAAGGAAAACAACCATAGTGAGCGGAGCATGAGCGTTGGTAGAGCATACTTTATATATCTGGTACCATTGGGGGAAATTTGTGCATTGCATGGACCTACTGGTTGACTGGAAACAGCACCAAGAGCAAATACTGTCATACATAAAGCTGACTCTGTGCTCGAGTCTGCTCCCTTGACCAGGAATCGCTCATAGATCTCTGTAAACTCTGCCTGGTCGAGTACTGGATGACTAACATGTACCGATAAGAAGAAGGTGGAAACTAGGTGGTCAAGCACCGATCGTTCTATTTGGAAGGGAGGCAGGGGATTCTGCGACTGTTCTGGAGACAGCTCCGGTGGCAGAGGACTCTGGCTCTCTAGTAGGAAGAAAAGGTTTGTTGGATACTCGCCGACGAGCATTTTCACGGCTGGGAGACCGAGGAGGTAACTTGAAGAGGTCTTGTGCTCAGCCGGAATATTCATCGGTTCAGATGCGATGTCCAATGGGTCTCTCAAATTTGAAGAGAATTGTAGAGGTTCGTCGTCGGCAGCTTGCGTCCCATTCGCAGAAGCACGGATTGTTGATCCACTATTTGCATTCAATGCAGCGCCTTGCGATAAGCCGACGCGAGATACAGACTGAGAATGGTCCCGGGATGTCAAGGCTGCTAAGTGCTGCTGTTGCTCAGCCAACATGTCTTTGAGATCTTTCAACCGACTTATTATTTCTTTTGTGCCTCCAGAAGTATCGATTCTGTTTAACAATCGTTAGACGCTGTGTCGTTGGCAGGTTGAAGCATGCCTGTACCTTTGCGAGGGGCCATCATCGTAATGACAGTCCGCTCCTGACCTGGTGCAGTTATTGCATCTTGGCTTGGTGGCGTCACATCGCCGTTTCCTACTACAGCTCAGCAACTGGCGCGTCTGCCTTTAGTGGCACACGGCTTACCGGTGGCGGCAATAAGTACATGCCAGGGCTACTCTTCGCCTATTGAAGCTCATGTTCAATTCTAGATAGCGAACACAGTTGATAAAATGAATAACACATTAGATAATGTATGTCTAATAAAATAGTTACCCCCGCACTTAGCGGGACGGATTTACAATACACCGGTTATGTATATGTATTTGTAGTATTTATAATTAGAAAGTATTTATATATTTAAATAAGAAATACGTGTTTAAAGATATAATAGCTTATAAAAAGACAAGTAACTATAAAGTACTGTTTTAAATATTAAGGAATAATAGGCCTTAGTAGTAAGAGCTATATAAGCTTAGTATTTATTTTATTTCTATATTATTATTTACCTGCCATAATACCCTACATTGCGTTTAAGGAGACGCTAAACTGCTTAGGGTATAAACATAACTCGGTTTGTAAACGCTGCCTGTACCTGCCTTTGGCTTAGTTATCTAAGCCCTGTACAGGCTAAAGAGTCCCTATTTTTACATACTATACAAGATAGTATAGTTACTAAGCCATTAAGGCATTGTATATAAGGAGAACTTATAAATAAATTGCATTATTACATTTTAAGAAACCTCTCTTATAATTTAAAAGAAGCTTAAGATGACATAAGGAGCAGATCCCTGCGAATCTTATAGGGTATGTAACTATTATAGTTTCTGCCCTTGGCCAGTTTCCACAATCCGGTGCTGTACTAACCAGTTAGGATTATCATGAGTTATCTAGATCCCTTATCTGCGTGATTAAGTCGATAACAGTATTTGTAAAAGGTATGTAATCAAGACCCAATTCCCTACCAGCCGTCTCCCCATCCACGCCATGAGACTCATCGGGAGCCTGTAGCTCTTTCGACACCTTATCTGCCGCCCAGGCAAAATGCGATCGTATAATGCTGGCGGCCTTGCTGTATGTGAATCTCTCAGGAGACGCTGGGATATATCGCTTTCCGCTAGCCTCAGGCCGCAAAAGCGCCTCCACGTGAGCTTTGGCAAGGTCGCGAACGTCGATCCAGAATGGCACCCTGGCAACGGGGAGCGGAACCTCGCCGCAAGCTATTTTAAGAAGCATCTTGTTTGACTCATTCAGCGCGTCGACGTTTGGAACGGGGTGGCTTATGGGACCAAACGTCATGGGCGGGCAAAGGGCGACTAGGTCGAAGGAGGGCTTCTCTTTAGCCATGAATTCCCAAGCTTTGAGTTCTGCAAATTTCTTGGATCCGCGGTATGCTACTACTGCACTTGTTCCCGGGGCGATCGACTCATCGTATGATAGAGGGTTCCAGTCATCACCGGTGTAAGTGAAGTACGGTGGTGCCTGGCGCCCAGCATCAAGGACGGATGCAAAGGAAGATGTGATGACGATGCGCTGTATCTTCGGTGAGGTAGCTGCCGCTTTGAGGACAGAATGAACACCATTGATCGCTGGAACAACCAACTCCTTTTCATTGTCCTTGGTAGCATAAGTGAAAGGCTAGGCGAGGTCAGAATCTGCGTAATATTATCCAGGTCTCTGATAGTACGTACACTTGCCACATGAATAACGGCGTCAATGTCCTGAATGGCCTCCAAAAACCCTCCCGGATTTTGAAAGTCCTCAACCTGAACGAAATCCAGCTTCTCTCGAAACTCAGGCCTCGCATCAATCATAGCCTTCCCCTTGGATAAAGATCGGCTAGCCCCGCGGACTTTTATACCACGCGAGAGAAGCTCATCGACAACATGTGCACCAATAAACCCGGTGGCACCAGTCACCAAAACGTATTGCCTAAGGAGTCAAGACAAGTCAGTCATTTTACCATAGCGTGAGGAAGACGTATGTTTCGACGAACATTGCGGGAGGCGAAGACACCGTCTTAGACAGGGTTTATTGAGGAGTATCAATGACAGAGGGAGAAAAGCTGTTTGTTAACATAAATAATTTTACATGATTGATATTTACTATCTTGGTCGTGTGTCCCTATGGAGCTGGACACTACGCGTATCACTTCTGTTGCTCCGCATCATGAACTCTCAATACCTTAGCTGTCGGTGGATAATGTGCCGCCTACCCCCGTGGACTGACTGATAATAGAGACGCGGGCGCTCTGCCGCCTATCCCCGCCGCCAGTAATCTTGACCAAACTAATACTAATGCTGACTAGCTCGTGTCGAAGCGGTTAATGCTACACAGATTTAATTCCTCCCTCGCTACTCCGTACTCGCGCAGCCTAGGTACGCCGAAGCGTGTATCAGCCGATGGGTTGTCTGATCCATTTCCCCGCACAACGTCCCATTAGCTCAAGGTTCCCCAGTCCTGACCCCAGACCCGAACGTCTGGCAATCTGCAAAGGCGCCTGATGTAGAGATAGCGCCCCTGTGATTATTATAAATGGCAACAGGTCATCACTTCCTCTGTTGTTTGACCTCATCATCATCCTCTTGACATTCTCTTTTCCCTACAAGATTAATTCTCAATGGCTTTGGGTAATCTCAGGGGCACGCCGCTTTTGGTGTGCGTGACACTTGTCAATGCTGGTCAGTGACTCGGTAATTCTTTGATGAGCTCTATGCTGATGCGTCTACATAGTCTCCATGTCATGGTTTGGTTACGACCAGGTAAGCTAGCCTATGTAATATCAGTTCCAGGAAAGTCACTCACCGACGGTGCATCAGGGCGTTTTCTCATCAGTTCTCATCTCAACCGACTTCAAGTACTGGTTTCCAGAGACCAAGGCCGCAAGTATCTCTGGAATTGTTTCCAGTTGCTTTGCAGTAAGTGACATGCTACCTTTGACCACGTGCAAACACTCAACTATATTACAGCTGGGTGCCTTTTTTGGGGCAATCTTTGCCTTTGTTTGCGGTGACAAGTTGGGGCGCAAGAAGACCATCTGGGTTGGTCTCCTCAGCAACCTCATCGGCGCTGTCCTACAGATTGTATCATGGCATCTTCCTCAGATGATAGTCGGTCGTGTAATTAACGGATTCGGCATGGGTATGTCTCTAATGTTCCTCTCCCACACGCAAGTCAAACTGCAATCTCACGCCTCCGCTTGTAGGTGTCACCTCATCAACTTGTCCCGTCTATCAGGCCGAATGCTCCAAGCCTCGCGTTCGAGGTAAACTCGTTGTCGTGCAGTCCCTTTGCAATACCGCCGCCTTTTGTCTCGCCAACTGGATGAATTACGCCCTCGGTGTTAGAAGCGGCCCTATTCAGTGGCGTTTCCCTCTCGGCTTTCAGCTCCTATTCCCCTGCATCATCGCCGTTGCGCTATTATTTGTGCCCGACTCTCCGAGATGGCTGATGCTCAAGGACCGACACGACGAGGCTCTTGTTGTCATAGCACGACTTGCTGACCGCAACGCGACCATCGAGGACGTCGATGTCGTGACCGAGTTCAGATCAATCCAAGCGACGATCCAACAAGAGCGTAATGAGACTGTATCCACGATTGATATGCTCAGGTGCCGTGACAAGACTCAAAACCTTCGCAGGATCCTACTGTCGTGCGGTACACAATTCATGCAGCAGTTCTCAGGGGTCAATGCTCTCGGATACTACCTCCCCACCATGTTACAGCAGGTTCTTGGCTACAGCGCGCGCCGAAGTCGCCTTCTCACTGGCGTCAATGGCACTATCTACCTGTTTGCCGCCATTTGCTGTCTGTTCATCATTGACCGTTTTGGTCGCCGAAAGTAGGTTTTCACCGAGCCCACGAATACCCCCCCGTTGGCCTACTGACCCTATTAGGATGATGCTTTATGGAGCAGCGACAATGGGCTCGTGCTATATGATTGTGTCCATGACTCTTCTCGGCGCTAAGCACAACCCAGGCATGAAGGAGAGCGTACGTCATGGATCAGAGACACTCAAATTGAAGATAAGCAGCTAACGTATTCCATAGCTCGGCGAAGTCACCACTGCCTTCTTCTTTATCTACTACTTCTGTTACGGTACCAGCTTTGCTAAGGTACCGTGGGTATTCAACTCGGAAGTCAACTCTCTCGGCTGGCGCACGCGGGGGGCTGCAGCGGCCACAGCCACGAACTGGATGGGTGGCTTCATTGTTACTCAATTCACCAAGACTGGCGTTGACAACCTCAATTGGGGATTCTTCCTCTGTAGGTGTCCAGCAACTCCAACCTTGAATAAGCCACTGATTAAGAACAGTATTTGCTGGCTTTTGCTACTCCTACTTCCCGATCGTTTACTTCCTGTATCCCGAAACCGCTCGCCGTACCCTCGAGGATATGGACCAGATCTTTATACAAAACCCAGGTCTGATCGTTTGCCGCGTTCCAGAGCTCACGCAGAGAGAGCGTCCCGAGACATTAATTACTCTTGAGCAAAAGCGAGTTGAGAAGGCAGAGGTGGCTCACGTAACTCATGTGGACTAACTAAATTTGCTGTCTGACGCCCGAGATAAAACATATGGATGAGAGTTTGTAGGTAGTACGGGCCGCGAGCTGAATGTATTTGCACCCTGTGCAGGCGTTTTAATGTTTAGTGGGTGGGCAAGTAGTTAGGCAGTCTATGCAAAGATACTTAAGGAAGAACATGTATAATTCTCGTTCACCGCTCCTAGTACAAGAAGTAAACAGTCCTTGCAGAGAAGTCTTAAAAAAGTGCAAATTAAGACATATTACGCGCCTTGCACGTGGCTTGTTAAAATGTCTTAGAATATAAGAAGACGCAAGGGAGGTATCTTATCTAAAGATAATATATTATAGTAAAGCATTAAGCAGTA